TTTATCCCATAAATATAGTACCTCTTAAGACTATATTTCTTCATATATATATATATATATATATGTTGAAGACCTAATGAGGCAACAAAGGTTTTTTTGTGGTGCATTACATTCTATATCTTGGTGGTGGCAGTTCAAAGGAACTGTCTATAGTCTGTGTTGATTCTTGTTAAGTTTCTGACCTTTGAACTCTCTTCAGCCATGATCAAGAAAAAAGAAATAAAATAAAATTCAATATTCCGTGTGATAATTTGTCTCTTTCGAATGAGTTTGACTTGATAGTTTTGAATACAGTATTATGTTTTCATGTCGAACTTGACATAGTGTGTGTTCTACGAATGTCAATACACTTTTGATCTACAGAAAGATGCTGGGGACACCACGGACGGTGTAAAGCAATGAAGAAGTTTTAGGGAAAATGGAAACAAAAGAAAGACTCAGAATTAGAAAAAAATCAGCTAAAATTTCTTGAACAGATAGTGTGGAAGGAGGACTTGGAGAATTTGGGATAGATTAGAATATTTCAAAGGAACGGGAGACCTGGAGAATCAACGGATTCCCTACCTGAGGAGCTTGAGTGAATCGATGGCAGAACAGGGTGTAAGAGGGATGGCAAAACTTTACAAACAGCTACTGATGATACACAACGCATGGAAGAAAAATTCCTTATGGACGATGTTCAAGTTAGTAAATAGACAGGAATGCTGATTTTTCAGGGTATACAGACAGGCTCTCCGTCCTTTGTACAACATTTTTCTCATTCTTCAATACGTCATTTCGTTTGTTAATCTATAAACAAGGCCTGATTGAGACACGCCATAAAATAATGCGGAACAAATGGATCTCACAGACGGCAGTGTGCTGTAATGTCCTATACATGTTTTCTTGAGCAAAGTCGGAGTGCAAACAAATAAACATCGATTATTTTGTCGGTACGAAACGTTTCGACTAAATAAGAATGAGACGAATTTGCCCATTACTTGAGACTACAACTAGTGCATTATCTTTTTCTCGCTTTACCTCATACAGATGATCATTTTGTCCACGGGAAAGTAGTTTTTCCCTGGACTTATTGCATTTGCATTGATAAGTCCAGAGAAAAAAAACATCAAATTCAGACATAAATAAATACCTGTAAAGATAGAATAAATATAATAATTGTTTACGTTAGCATGCGAAACAGGGCAGATATGACTGTGCCGAGAATCTTTGAAGAAATTACCGCTTATAAGGCACTGTTCGGCTTTGCCTGATCAGAGAGAACCTTTGTAGCCAAGTTTGTCTGAAGCACATCAGATCTAATGACGGTTTCTCATGCTAAAGGGGGATGCAGATTCGAAACCTACCAAAAGGCACACCTTTTCTTTAGTAAGATTTATCAAATATTAAGGCCGGTAGACGAAAATAAATACCTATACTGTTTAATAAATAAACCAACCTACTCAAACATGAATATATTCTAAACATATAGGGTTAAGTGATATATATATATATATATATATATATATATATATATATATATATATATATATATATATATATATATATATTTCGTGTGCAATTTATAAAATTTATAACTTTATTTGTATTTGCGATAGAAATAATCTGTAAAAAATGTTATAAAGTTTAATGTACCTAATTTTAAGTATAGCTAAAATAACTAATGTAATTTCAAGAATTACTATAAATCACTTGGCAAATGTTTTCCTTCAAAAATGTTTTTCTGCAAGATCGTATTACCCTTTGTATTGCTAATGATGGAGGACATGTGGAAACTTAAATAAAAACTTTAATAAAAAATATAGATTTACTTCTTTTCTAATCCTTTTTACAAATTATTTCTAACGCAAATACAAATAAAGATATAATTTTTAAAGTGCAAACGAACTTTATGGAAAACCTGTATATATATATATATATATATATATATATATATATATATATATATATATATATATATAAGATAATAACTCTAGCTATTAATACTAGCAATAACTATACATTAAATTATATAATCTAATAATCTAAAATGCTCAAGATTAGACTACTGCAATACATATTAAATTAGATATTAAATTAGGCCTCGAATCTTATATATATATATATATATATATATATATATATATATATATATATATATATATATATATATATATATATATTAGTTTGTAGCTATCTGTCTATCTCAAACGTTAAAAAGCCTAGCAATCTATGTAAATAATTTGTTTCATGATAGCCTATTTGTTCATTTAGATAACTGCTTGTTTACTGCGAGTTACGTAATTAAACCGAGGGAAAACGCCTAAAAATCACTTATCTTGTATGATATGGATCTCCCCTCGGATGATTGTTCCTACACTGCCCACCGAATCGTTTAATCATCTAGGCATACAGCCATATCACATTAAAACACTGGTTTCCGTAGATCACCGTAGTTGAGCAGCTTCGAGCCTGGACAATACTAAGATGGGTGACCGCATGGGAATACCAGGTGCTGTAAACCAGTATGCGCGGCTGATGCAATGGATAATATCTCAGAACTTCTAACCAGAGAACCGAATTCCAATTCTAGTCTGTTTCATTATATTAAATTATGCACAAATACATGAATCCACCTCTTCTCCCCCAGCTATGGGTTAATTAATAAAACTTGTAGAAGTAAATCGTTATTATCTAAAAAAAAAAAAAATAATTCAAAACGTATAGTACCTACGTGAGATATCCCGTTGAATAATTTTTTTCTTAACAAAAACGGTCAGTTAAAACAGTTCTTTATTTTTTGAACAGACAAATAAGTGAAAAATTTCTTTATTATTTTCAAAGAGTTGAGTTTTGTATTCCATGAGATTTTGCTAATAGTAAATAGAACACTATTTACATTGTTCGGACTGTCGTCCTCATCTTTGTTGCCGTATTTATCACAACGTTTCCTCAAGGGCACATAGCACAGTGGATTAAGGCGTTAGTTAGATCCAGTGACAGGACCCAAAGACTGTGAGATCAATACCTGTTTAAGGCAGTGGAGAACTTGGAGAGGGGAATTAACAGGAGATAACTGATAACTGACATCCCTTAGACACGGCACGTGGAACTAGAACAGTCTACCCAAGCGAGCGAAATAAATTCGACATTCTAGCCAACTGAAGAAGGCTGCAGCGTACAACGGCCGAAACGTTGTGATAAATATGGCAACGACAATAGTCCGAACAATGTAAATAGTGTACATAATACGTCATCTCTGAAATATAGACAGATAGTAAATAATAGTTACGATCTTTAAGGCGCTCCTAATATCGATTTGCAATAGCAGTGACCGACTGGCTATGGTGTTAGCTGCCCGATGGCAAGTGGGCGCCTGATGGAGTGGGCATCCTATATCAAATAAAAATGCAATCAAAAAACAAACAATTGTTTTAGTATTAAAAAGGAAGAAGAACTTTATAAAATCATCTGTACGCTATCAGTTACTCAAGTCTAATGTGAGAGGACATTTTCCAAGCTATAAAGACAAGGTTACGAAATTCGATGTCTGAGGAGAATTTGGAATCATACATGTTGTTATCCATTGGAAAGTAATTGTTAGCCGAATTGGATGCAGAAGCAATTATTGGCAGATCCGAAATATCATCTATCAACATAAACGATTGCTCTTCATATAGTTGTCTGCATGCAATACTCTATTGTACTTTTGAACGATGTGTTAATGTGTAAATTTCACAGTAAACTATATTTCAGATATATTTAAAATTAATAAATAAAAATTAAATTATAATATTCTGTATTTACACGTAATATACACTGCCAGTAATATGTACACTACATGTACACTACATGTACACTGTCATTTCTAAGAAATACACATTTTTTTATAAGAATTTTAACAATACTCTTTTTTTTCCCATATGTATTTTTCGAAAAAATTATTTATTCTTTGTGAAAATTAAATGATAGCATTGTAGTTGTCGCTGGGCCCACTTTCTTCCCTGGCAAACAATATCTTTAGACCCAGTCCGCCACTGTGAAATAAAATACAAATGCGACAGAAAAGTATAATAAGTAAGTAGACCTGACGACTGGTTGGGAAGGGAAAACAATACGTGAGTTAGCAGCTAAATAACAGGAACGAAAACTGGTCCGCTGTCTCCATCTTTTCTTTCATTTTCTGTTCACGGTAAATATATTTTTTTCCTTTCTTTTTCACTGACTATATCTGTTTTATCTGTCTATAGTTCTGAGATGATGTATTGTAACTATTTACACTATTTACATCGTTCGGACTACTATCCTCATTTTTATTGCCATATTCACAACGTTTCGGCCGTTGTACGCTTCCGGCCTTCTTCAGGTGATATACGATGGAATTTCGAACCAAATTCTTTATTTAGTCCGCAGGGGTAGACTTTTCTAATTCCATGTGTCATTTTTTTTTTTTTTTTTCTTGGTGGGGATACTTCAGACACGGTTAATTCCCTTTATAACCTCAACTAAATATAGATATCCAAAAAAGGCATGGAACGTGGAATTAGAGCAGTCAATTGACCCTAGTTGGCTAAATAAAGGGTTCGGTTCGAAATTCCAACGTATATCACCTGAAAAAGGTCGGTGCGTACAACAGCCGAAACGTCATGAATATGCCAATAAAGATGACAACAATCTGAACTATGTAAATAATGTAAATATATCAGTTTTAATTTCAATAATGTCTTTGAGAGTGGCATAAAAAAAACGCCACAAACGTTTTTTTCCGACCAAAATAGATAAAAAATAAAGGCTTGCCAAATTCCATGTATAATTCTGTGGCCTATCTGAAGAATAAAAATTAAAATTCCTGAAACATGTAGAAAGTGTATATAATCTTTGAGAAACACTCTATAGATAACACTATTTACATTATTCGGACTATTGTTTGTTGCCATATTTAACAGAACGTTTCGGCCGTTGTAGGATCCGGCCTTCTTCAGATGGTTGGAATGTCGAACTGAACCCTTTATTTCGCTCTCTGGAGTAGACTGTTCTAGTTCCATGTGCCATGTCTAATGAATGTCAGTTACCAGTTATCTGTTAATTCACCCCTCCAAGTTCTCCACTCCTTAACCAGGTATTGAACTCAAAACTCTTTGGGTACTGTCACTGGATCTAACCAACGCCTTTATCCACTATACCATGTGTCCTTAAGGAACTAGAGCAGTCGACCCTAGTGAGCGAAATAAAGGGTTCAGTTCAACGTTCCAACCATCAGAAGGCCGGAACGTACAACGTCCGAAACGTTGTGATAAAGATGGCAACAAGATGAGAACAATAGTCCGAATAATGTAAATAGTGTACATAATACCTCATCTCAGAAATATAGATAGATACTTGAAATAAGTCGAAATATTCTTATATCAGTTTAAATTAGCACCTTTTTCTTTCTTATATTGCAAACATTTTACTTAATGTTTGTATTATTTTGACTGTAGGTGAAAACTTGGAAGGTCTTCGACATATTTCAGTGAAATAATTTGAGTCTATATCTTATTGATATCAGTAGAATATGAATAACTATTCAGATTTATATATACAGAGTGCGTCTTCAATATACATACATACATACATACTTATATATATATATATATATATATATATATATATATATATATATATAAATATAATATATATATATATATATATATATATATATATATATATATATATATATATATATATATATATAAGAAAAAAAGTAAGATATATAATCCGGTGTTCTTATAGATATTTTTTATTTTATAATTTATATATATATATATATATATATATATATATATTATAGTAAAGAGAAAAGAACAGTAAGATATAAATCCGGTACATTTTTTTACATTATTCGGACTACTGTCCTCATCTTTGTCGCCATATTTATCACAACTTTTCGGCCCTTGTACGAATAATGTAAATAATGTACATAATACCTCATCTCAGAAATATAGACAGATATAATCCGGTGTTCTTATTAATATTTTTATTTTTACAAAACTGTGTCAATGCAAATTTACAGGGCATAAATATTACAAATTTATTATATTTAAAAATATGGTTCCATCGCTACACAGGAATTACCATGTTTCAAAAACAGAAGCTAAAAACTGAAAAATTCAAATTTAGAATTAAATTACAGTCCCTAGTTCTGTTTCATTTTCAAGCACATTTTGGAATTCAAATTTCGCTTGAAAAGGAAACAGAACTAGTGACTTTTATTTAATTTAATTCTATTATTGAATTTGAAGTTTTTAGCTTCTGATTTTAAAATTTAGTAAGTCCTGTGTAGCGATGGAACCATTTTTTAATAGATAAATTTATAATATATATATATATATATATATATATATATATATATATATATATATATATTCTTAGACTCGATGAATTACTATAATGATTATTCTAACCCTACAAAATTCTATCACTGATATATATATATATATATATATAAATGGAAACAGTCCTAGCAACCGAATGCTGAACTATATAACCTCATACCGGTATCTGGTACTGCAATCGTGAGAAAGAAAATATTGGACTGTTCGATATATAAGCAACAGCCCCAAATATTATTTAGGTGGTCTCTCAGACATCGCAGGCTGAAAATGTAAGGTGCACGTATCTTATCAAATGCTCAGCTTCACATCTACGCTGGTCGGGAGTAACTGACGAAATACTGGAGTAAATAAAATGTTAAGGAATAAATATTCAATTCTCGTGTTATAACTTAATTGACATCGATATTTCATTATATATGCAGGCTTGGTTTATTAACTGCAGCAATTATTTTTACCTAAAAGTTTCCCAATAAAAAATGCATTATAAAATTATGAAAGGAAAATATTACTTCTTAGTGTTCTCATTTTATAGACAGCCTTAACTTGAATTCGTCAAGTGACTGAATTACAAAAGTCAACTGATATGGAGAGCTCATTCACAGAGAATTGTTGCAGATAATTATAAGAATTTACTTACAATATAAGCGTTTACTTAACGTTCTATTATTTCTATTAACTAAATGAGTATGCATTTATTGGGTAGCCTTTAGATTAACGGATTGGTCACAAGCCATTGTCAGTAAGACGCAGCTTTTAAAGCCTTGACTCTGTATGTTATTTATACTGACTTCATGCCAACTACTGATGACGCCAATGTGCACTCTCTCCCTCAGAAACTGTAACTAAGGTTCGCTCAAGAAATGTTGCATTATAAACAACAGTTTGTTTCTGTGGGCGCTAAAAAATGGGCCTGAGAAAGCGTATGCAACCAGGATTAGATAGTCATCCTCGGAGATTTCATCGTCGCCCGAGAATGACGGATGCCTACTTACAAATAGGAGTTCAAAAAAGTATTCAATCAGTCATTTATATGCCATGTGTGATACACGCTTAGGCGATCATATATTTTTCTATACATGACTGACGAGACATATTTTTCTCGGTAGACCAGTTGTTATCCAAAGCTTTGGATGGCAACTGGTCTACC